GGTATCTTCATAACAGACACTAGAAATAGATATTTCTCACACTGTATCTTACCGTAAATGAGCTTGCAATGAATGATGTGTTATCTCTGTGTTTTAATTTGTGTCTTTCATCACTGATTGGCTATGGATTGGTCGTTCAATTTTAAGTTACATACTTAAATAATGTTTTGAAACATAAACACAGCTTGTGTAAACATGGAAGCAATAGGAAATTTAATAAAACAGTGAAACCTTAGATTCTTCTGCTGCTTTGAGCACCAAATTGAATAATGGTATCCAGGAAATAATATTCCCCAAACTCAGATCTCATGTCAATGTCTATGATCCTAAAAACAAAATAACAGTGGCAGATTTAGTTGGTTACTGGCAGAATTTGGATGGCTCATGATTCCAAAATTGTGAAAGAACAAGGGGTTCTTAGTTCATTTTCCTGTTCTTCTTTTTTTTTTTTTTTAAGGAGGAGAGGTTTATTAGGTCACAGATTACAGAGGTTTCCATCCCTAGTGGGCTGGCTCCAAGGCAGGGCAGCATGGCGGGGGGCACTGAAGAGGAGAAAGAGTCCACAGCAGGGCAGGCAGGCGGATGGCGGCAAGCAAGTGAGCCACGGGTGACATTGGTTCATTTTTCTAACATGGATTAGCTTTGAGCAGAGTTCGTGAGGTTCCACATGATTCAGAAATACTCTTTGCTTTGGTTTTGTGTCTTCAGCTTCATCACTGCTGAGAAGGGGTCTCCAGAGTTCACAGCACCCACGTTGTGTGTCAGAGGCTGCTCCTAACTACAGCTTACCTGTCCAAATCACTTATCGCAGCTGTGTGCTGCTCGGTGTATTGTGTTTTAGTTCATATCGATGTCTGTTGGTGAAATAGGGGAGCTATCGTCCCAGCTGGCGGAAGAAATCCTGGGCTCTGGGCCCCACGTGCTTCCAGCCACCCTGGCTCAGAAGGAACCATGGCGATCAGACGTGGGCACATAGGAGGGAGGGGAAGGCACAGAGACCTGATATGGATTCTTCTTCCCTGGACAGAGGTCTTAAAACTATGAATTGTAGCTTCACCACTGTGAGGTCCATGTTTTTATCCAATTGCTGTGGACACTGAAACCCACAAAGGTGAAAGGAGTTCCCCAAAGTTGGCCTGCGGGAGCGAACTCCAGAGTAATGTCTGGCAGCTCCAGACATTACTCAGGATTTACTTGGGCCCACTGTGCCAGGCTTGTGGTCCAGGTCTGTAGTCAGGGCCTGATGGGCTATGAGACAGAAAGTGCTCACAAAGCAGCTGGCTCCCGTCACAGGCTGAGGAGAGGGAGCTCCAATCACTATCACTGTTACCATCTTCACCATCATCAGAACCGTTATCTTTGCTGCTACTGCGATCCTCACCCCACCATCATCCTGATCCCTCTCCCATTAACATCATCACCATGCTCATCCTTATCCCCATCACCTATCATTATTATCTCTGAAGTCACTTCCACACCCATCTCTGTCTCCATCCCCACATCTGTCCTCACCACCATCACCATCCTCATCGCCATCGACATCACCTCCATCCCATCAACCCCATCCCTACCACCACCATCACCATCCCATCACCCCACTGACATCACCTCCATCCCATCAACCCCCCCACCATCTCTATCACCCTTGTATCTACCCCTGAAACCCTCATCACCATCGACATCACCTCCATCCCATCAACCCCATCCCTACCACCACCATCACCATCCCATCACCCCACTGACATCACCTCCATCCCACCAACCCCCACCACCACCGTCTCTATCACCCTTGTATCTACCCCTGAAATGCTCATCACCATCGACATCACCTCCATCCCATCAACCCCATCCCTACCATCACCATCCCATCAACCCCATCCCTACCATCACCATCCCATCACCCCACTGACATCACCTCCATCCCATCAACCCCCACCACCACCGTCTCTATCACCCTTGTATCTACCCCTGAAATGCTCATCACCATCAACATCACCTCCATGTCCATCAACCCTATTCCTAGTTCAGCCTCCACCATCATCATTGTCATCATTTTCACTTACGCTTGGAAGAAAGTAAATTATTTCTCTTCAGATATATATCTATTGTGTCCAGGAACCAAAGCTACAAGATAGCTAAGGGAAGAGCTAGTCACTACGGTGTCGCGAATTTCATGTTAAATATCTGCCAGTGAGAAGCTGAGCAGGAGGTAAACAGACCTGAGTTTTCTGGCATGTGTGGTGGACCTCAGTTAAGACAACTGGCTTGTGGGTGTTTGACTCGATGCTCTTTATCTTTAGTAGCATGAGCAGTCATGAAGGGGTGAGTTGGAGCATCACTTTGAAAAGTTATTTTAAAATCACATTAATGTATGGGAAAGTCTCACAGATAGTCCAGAGGGCTCTGATGTGCCACTCTTGGAGCTTCTTTGATTCCAGGGGCACACAGCCATGGTGTATTTATCAGCTGTAGGACACCAGCATAGATGCAATACTGTCATTAACTAATGTACAGACGTTATTCAGATTTTTGCTGTTCAGTTATTTTATTAAAGTCTTTTTCATTTCTAGTGTCTCAGTTACTTTATACTCATTGCTGGGGCAAAACAGCCAACACCCACAATGAAGGAAGGAAAGGTTTGTTTTTAGCCACAGTGTGTGGAGGCTTCAGTCCATACTCGCTGGCTCCCAGGCAGAGTGGCCCACGGCAGAGGGCAGCAGAAAACAGTGGAAGGGCGAAGGGAGGGGCAGCAGCTGCGGCTTCCAGCCAGCCTCTCTCCCTTCCTTACAAACAGGCTACCCTGGGGCTGCGGGTGTAGAACTCACACAGTGTCGGCGCCCTCCTCTTGTGTAGGGTGAGAACTGCTTACAAACTAAGAACCCTGATTCTCTGCTGAGTCCCTTAATTAAGCTTCTAAACTCCTCACGTTGATACAGTGTATCAACCAGTCCACCTAGGATACTACGTTGCTTTTAAGAGTAACTCTTTGGGCCAGGAAAATCTTAGAGAACAGAAATCATATCTTGATAAGTTTTTAAAATTCAGATTAAGTACTTTAAAACACTTTGGGCAGCGTATTTTGGTAGATTATAATCCAACAGACCTTCCTGGACAGCCTGCCTTGCGTAAGGCGTCCCATCCTGGCTGTGGGTGGGACGTAGAGAGCGGCCAGCTTTCTTCTAGGAAAGACTGTCGTCTTGTTAGAGACAGAATGCACGGAAGGAAAGCTCAGCAGGCTCAGAATCCAAGCGCAAGGTGGAAGGGGCTCCCCGCTGATCTTGGGTGCGGAGCACCTGCTGAGCCGCTCTCACCGCCAGCAGTGTCTCCCCAGCAATGTCCTCCCTTTCCTACTGAACCTTTCTTTCCCCCCAGGAGTGGACCTGGCCTCCCTGCGCCAGCTGAAGCTTCAGAGGCCCATGAGCATGCTGGCCGATGTCAAATGCTTCCTGTCATCGGGAGGAAACGTTAACGAGAGGAACGAGGAAGGGGTCACTCTGGTGAGTCCGTCTTCCTGACTCCAAAACTTTCTCAAGGTGACTGTGGAATACAGAGCTCAATGTGAGTCACAAACTAAACGACACAAGGTTTTTATTACATAAAACAGTGTGTGTTCCTTAGAGAAATTTTGGAACACAAAATCTGCAGAGGAGAAAGTGCAAAATACTAACATCTCCACCTAGAGAGGGCCTGGGTCTGTCTGTTCATGTGTTTACTCTAAGCTTTTTTCTGTGTATGTTTTTCCTACAGATTTAAAACAACTTTTGTTATTTTGCCAGTGTGAGCTTAGCAGTGCAGCTCACAGGAGCAGGCTGTTGTTCTACTTTTAAGCAAAACAAACTGGGTTACTTTTGAAATTGATCCAGTTCAATTCTAGCAAACTCCAGTCATGACATTTCTGCTACTCTCAGGACCATTTGTACTAAATTAAATATAGGCCAATTCAATTTGGAATAACTTTAATATAATCAATGCTGGCATCGCAATCACAGTTTGCTTTATTGACCCATAAAGCTTGAAATTAATTACAGCAGGAAGAAGTGTATGAAGCCTCAGAGGAAAAAGCATCAAAGTAAAGCCGGACCCAGCCGCAGGCCAGGAACGGGGTGGCGCGGGCTGTGCAGACGCAGGCAGGAGGTGGCACGCAGTCGCTACCGTGGCAAGAACGTGGCATGAGGCTGGGCACAGTGGGGGGACTGAACCGAAAGGATGGACTTCTGTCGTGGATAACCCTCCTGACATGTTTTTAAATTTCTCAAATGGAGACACCACTGGGTGACCTCCAGATGGAATCCCTTCTTGAATACTGATGTCTAAAACTTATATTTAATGCAGTGTTTATATTTAACATAGTATTTTACAATTCTATAATTGTATGAAAATTTATAGTTTTGAATTTATAAAATTTTAAAAAGTAGCAGTCTTCTAAATTTAGTCTTCAAAAGTCAATATTTATGAATGTAGAGACTTCAGAAATCTATAAGAATGCAACTACAAGTCACAAGAACCACAAGATTGCACTGGAAAAATACCTGATCAAGTGGCAACATATTGTAACTGACTTGCTGGAGAACGCTTACTGACCCCATGCTGGGGACAAAGTAGTGAAGTGAACACGGAGAGGCTTTGTCGTGGGGTCACATTTCAATTAGGAAGATGGGCAGTATCACTATAAATGAGCAAGTCCAGCATATTAGCAATGATAAAGGCTCAGGAAAACACAACCAAACAAGGCAGGATGTGTTGATGGGGAGGTGAGTGGGCTCCAGCTGGCCAGGACAGCAAAGCTGTAACCCAAAGAGAGAGGTTGCTACTCCTGTGGTTGTGAGGAGCGCTCCAACCAGGGGTGCCAGGTGCGGAGGTCCTGAGGCTGGAGGGTGGAAGGCCTGAGGCCCCTAAGTCTGGAGCCCAGTAAACAGAGAAGAGGAGCCAGGACCACGCCGCACAGCCTCTTGTGGGCCTCTGGCGGTGGCTCTGAGTGAGGTGGGGAAGCGTCAGAGCTTCTGAAGCAGGACAGACTCCTCAGTTTTAAGAGGGTCGCTCACTCTGGCTGTGGCGTAGAGGACCGACAGCATCTTGAGAGCCGGGGGAAGCTGGGAAGCCCACCTAGTGTGTTAGTCATCTTTCCCACTGCTGGGGCAGACTACCAGAGCTGACAGCTTAGAGGAGGGAGGTTTAATGGGCCTCATGTTTCCAGGGCACTGAGTGCGCAGTTGGCCTGCTCCAGGGCAGGGGCGTCACAGCCAAGGCCAGGTGGGACACAGCTGCTCGGTTCATGGGGACAGCACCAGAGGGGAACCGGATACAGGAACCAGAAACAAACACAGACCCCAGACACCAGCTACAGACTAGAGGTCACAGACCCATGCTCCACACAGACACACGGACTCATCTGCTCTGTGACTCTGTGGCCAATCATGCTGGCGGCTAAGCTTCAGCATTGCACCTAGGAGTCCTCACGTAGCCCAAATGATGGAGTTGGGGGCTAGAGAGGGAGCAATAAAATTCAAGGTATCTGATGAAAGGGGCCAGTCAAATAGCTCAGCAGATTAAAGTGCCTGCAAGCAGGCGCAGGGGCCGGGGATTCAATCCCTGGGTCTGCCGGCCGGCCCTACCCCCAGGGCATGCTGAGAGGACAATTGAGACTGGGTGTGGCGTAATCCCAGCTCTTGGGAGGCTGTAAACAGGTGGATCACTTCGATACCAATCTAGTAGTGAGACCCTGAACACCCTGTAGACCTTTCCCTGGTATCTGATGAAAAGATTCCAGGCAGCTTCCTGGTGAGCCTGAGGTGGGAGATAGAAGATGTCCCCAGGCACTTTCAGCTTGACCTGTCAGTGTGGTAGAGTGACATCAAAGCACATGGAGAAGGCTGCCCAGAAGACAGGTTCAGGGCACGGCTAATCAGAGCCACTGCGGAAAAGACAAGTTTCATTTTCTCTTAGCCACTTTAGGGGTACTGGTGAGTTTGTGGTTGGATATAGGAGTCTGGAATTCAGGGAAGATCTGCACTGGAGAAGAATTTTGGAAACAGGCACACACGTGTGATATTGGCATCCTTAGACCTGGAAGAAGTTACCAGTAGGACAAAGGAGGGCTCTGGGTAAGCCAGAGGGATGAGGATGAGGGAGAAGACGCAAATTCAGAATGAAAGGAGGAGAAGCAGGCGCAACAGCAGGAAAGTCGCCAAGAGAAACCCAGGGGGTGACAAGGGAGAAGGGATTGAGGGCTGCACAGGTTCCTGAGACAGCAAGCAAAGCAGAGCTGGAACGGGATTTGGAGCTAATAATTTGGAGGTGGTCATTTTGTCTTTGAAGAGTGCCAGTGGATTGCTAAGATTAGAAGCAGATTAGTGTGAGCTTATTAATAACTCCACATATTATGTGCAATAAATTAGTCCCTGATGCATAACAAGCACCATGGAGCTTTTGCTTCTGTGTACTAGAAAATATGGCAGCTATCTTTTAAAAACTCTGGGCTAACTGCAGATAGCTCATGGGCACTGATGACGGCTACTGCACTTGTGGAGAGGCTATTGTAAGGACCAACACAGAGTAGTAAATTGCTGTCATTTTCAACGATCTTCAGTTTTTGAAATTCCTTATGAACTTTAAGCTCTACTGAATGAAGAGCATAGAATGTACAAATGACTGTCCCATAATAACTAAATATTGTGGCGATCATCTGTGAGCTTTGAACAAGACAATAAACAGAGAGCCAAAGCTAGGAATAGTCCCTTGAAAATCACATCATTTAACAAGTAGCATCTGGGTTTGAGTCTTACCTCTGAATTGTGTCTATTTATGTTAATGAGCATCATTGTAGCATTTTCCTTAATTTTAAGTACATAGCCATGTGGTGCTTTCTGTCTATTTTTAGGAATAAAGATAAGAAAATACTTTTGTTTGCATATTGATTCTCAGCTCCTGGGCTGGATTGTCAGTTATGATTCGAAATTAGGTGGAATTTCTTGTACTATTAAATTGTTATGTGTGAAAGATGAAACTACCAACAAAAGACTCCAGGGAATCAGCTTCCAGCAAAGTGATTTTTATGTTGTCTTTTCCTCCTCTGTTAGAACATCCAACTAAATAACCAAATACAGATGTTTTTGCAAAGATCTTTTTAGTTTACACTAACAGTCTTCTGAAATACAGATAAAAGCCGTAGAAAAGAAAATAACTTTAATGCCGTGTGCCAGCACATGTGAAAGCAAATTCCTGTGTTTGAGTGTGTAAATTCTCTTTGAGGAAAGCACTGTCCACTTCTGCTGCTAAGACACTGATCCCTGCTGGCTCATGGCCTCCGAAGCAGCATACGTGGCTGCTGACAGCCGCCTTCAGAACTTGTCGGAAAATGGTGACCCGGAGATGCCATTTGTGAAGTACTTGGTTGGTACTGCCTTTTTATTTCAGCAGTGCTGGTTCATTCCTTACTTCTGAGTATACTTAGCCAGTATTCTCAATTTTCTGGGCCATTTCTGGGAATTATGACTTTCTGGTTATGGTCACAAAATAAAGACTCAGTTTACTGATTAAAATGTCTGTTCCAATCATAATGGAAATGCCCAACTCAGAAGATACCTAATGGCTACTCCCTGAGAGTGACTTGAACTGACTCCTGTAGTGGTTTTTGTCTAGATGTTCCCTCAGATCCTCACATAAGCTCAGGTGGGGGTTTTCCAGAGGTGGCCACATTGCAAGTTTGTGCTTGATGCATTGTCCAGGCCTGGGGTTATGGCTGTGAGTGCTATACCTGTCCTAGGGCGGGTAACCTGAACACAATAATGTAAGTGACAGAAAGAGAAGAGTCAGTCTCTCTCTCTCTCTCCCTCTCCCTCTCCCTTTCCCTCTCCGCCCCCCCCCCGTCCTTCCACTGCCCTTAATTGTTACCCCTGTGCCAAGGAAGGCCCTGCCTTGAAGTCAACAATGGACTAAAACCTCTACAAACTATGAGCTAAATTAAATTTTCCCCTATTTAACTTTGGGTGTTAGGCATTTAGTCTCAGCAAGGAGAGAAAGTAATTAGTCAACTCCTAGTAGCAGTTTTCATGAAAATACACCTGTTTCAGTTCATCTACCAGCTCAGAATGCTGGGGTTCAGACACCTGATGTAGGAGCAAATTCAGCGGGGAGATATTTTAAATCCTGCACCTAGATCTTTTTTTTTTTTTTTTTTTTTTTTTTGTAGAACAGATGCATAACATACAAAAATGACATGAACACAATGTCCAATTTCCAAGTTATATGTGCAGACAGGACAAGCCTGCCCGGTAAGGGCAGTTCTAGCATCAAGATCCATCTCGGAGGAGAAAGCACAGGAGGAATATTGATAGCCATTGCCATGGCAGAAATTAAAGTGAGTGTTTTACATCCATCAGGGATCAAAATTAAGAAAGACAATAAACTAGGAATAATATCTACAAACAGCTGTTCAAGGTTTTGGTATCTTCCAGTTATGCAAAGTTCATAAAAATTAATAACAGCAACAGGTATCACTCAGTAGATTAGTTTTTTCTTTTTTTGTGTGTAGGGTCTCAGCGCACAGCTCCGACTTGTAGTGATCCTCCTCCTTTCGGCCTCCCCAGCTCTGGGATTACAGGCATACGCCCCATACACGCACACTCGGTTGCCAGCTCAGTGTGCCCTGGGGTGGGGCCGGCACAGCGTGTGGTGCGAGGCGCTTAGTCTGCTGAGCTATCTTGCCGGCCCTTCTCAGTAGAAGATTAGAAAATGAGACAAGTCATAAAAGAAAAAGTACAACCATCCAATAAATGTGTAAAAAGAAAACCATTATAAGGAAATAAGTGAGTACACATTTATTTGCAGGCCTATCAAGAATAATAATAGTGGGGATTAGAGAGGTAATGATTGCTGAGAAGAAACTATCCTGTCCACTGCTGGCTGGCGTGTAAGTTGGTGCAAACCTCCTGGAGCTCAGTGGGAACCTGGCTCAAGAGCTTGAGAAAGTGGTACTTCGAATTGGAAGTCTGTATCTAGGAAGGTAGAGGAGAGAAGTTCATAGAAGAGGCATGCTGGAGTTATATGTAGAGTTTCCCAAGAGCCTTATGGACTCATAGATAGGGCTTTTGGTGGGTGACTACATTATGGGCACTTAGAGGTGACTTGGTGTAAGGAGGCAGGTCTGGTGTGAAGAGCTGGTCAGGGGCTATGACCCGGAAGGGTTTCTCTCTCTCCCCAGCTCCTCCCTGCTTGCTCTGTCTCAGGGCCTCTATGAGGCAAGCACTTTTGCTCCCTCTGTATGACCCTGCGTGGGCGTCAGCCAGCTCTAGACTGAATTTGCAGTCCAAGTGAACGTCTCTTCCCTTACATTGTGGGTGTTGGGGTTTTTGGCCTAGTGACAAGGAAAGTAGCAGAGACAAAACATGTATAAGGACTGCTAAAAAAACAATGTTTCTGTACTTCTTTTTGTGTATAACTTTTGTAAGAAGTAGTATTTTTTAAATAGGTGTCATTCGTGTGTTTGGGAAAAAAAAATTCAGAACTTGTAACTTTAGGAAAGAACTCATGGACATACATATTCTAGCAATTAAATCTGTCATCTCATGGCAGAGTGCCATGAAGCTGAGTGATGGGCTGTGTCCTGCTGGGCTGAGAAAGCACCCTCTGCAGCATCATTAAGGCAGGCATCTTTGCGATTCAGCAGCTGTCCCCATCAGGACCCCACCTGGTCAGGCCCTGCTGAGTGGTCTTCAGATCCCCGGGAGCAGGAGCTGAGACCCCTGTGCTGCTATGTGGGTGAGCTCAGCTCCTGTGCAGGTGAGCAGGGCATGCCAGGAGGCGGGAGCAGCGTTTAACTGCTGAGCTGTGCACCCTCTGGCTGCGAGCCCAGAAGGAAGCTGCTGGGCAGGTACCTACGTCCTCCTGAGATGTAGCCAGCAGGAGTGCACAGAGGTGGGATGGTTTAGAGGCAGAAGAAACACTGCCAGGTCAGGGTGGCAGCCATACTCATGCCTCATGAAGATCGCAACAGTCGCGTGTGACTTCACCCGTAATGTGTACGAAGCCACTGCCATGTCTCGACCTTTGCCACCGCTGAATAGGTGATTTCCAGGTTGCGGCAATTTTTCCATAGGGATTGGCTTGCAGACACACACTGCGGAAAGGAGCTTCACACCTGATGTCACTCTGGGCCTGCAGGCAAGGGCCCTTCCAGGACACCGTAGTGACCGACAGCTGGAGTGTGGGCATCTGACATCTTCTGGCAGTCCACACAAATAGTACCAAAAAACCACCTCATTTCACAAAACAGAGTTTAATTTTTTATTTCCTTCCACAAACTCAAGTGCTGCCTCAGTAATGAGAAGCTTTACTCCACAGAACCCAGCGATTTGCTGATAATTCAGAGGTCGACTGTCAATAAAAGCCAGGGGAAGGCTCTTAATTCCTGATAGCTTATGGTGATGCATTTCAAAATTCTTTTATGACAAAGAAAGCCTGTTCCACCAAGGGTTTTTTTGTTGTTGTTTTGATATTTTGTTTTCTTGATTTTTTTGTTCATTTGTTGTTGCAGTACATAGTGGTGCGTGCATCATGGGGGCTGGGAGCCATGCGTTGCGCGTCTGGATCCGTTCGCACTTCTCCTCTTCACTCCCTTGTCCCTGTCTCGCTCCCTCCTTCATCTTTTCAAGAAGCTGGAGTGAAACTCACTGGCCTTCAGACATGGCCAGCGGCCAGGGTTCGGGGCGGCTTCTCCAGCCAGAGGGCCGGGACTGTTCTCCTCTAGTCTTTGCTTTTCAGCTGAGCGTAGGGTGAGATTTAGAGCATTTCCAAGGACGGGATCCAGGTGTGCTGTGTGGGAAGAACACCGGCTGCCCTGGGCAGCCCTGCTGCCGTTCACATGCCTTAGCGCTCACAGACACATCTTGATGCAGTTATGCAGGTTCTGTGTTATACCAAAATGTCCGTTCTGAAATACGGGGGTTACTGCATACAGCACAGCCTAACCTGCTCGGCATGCACTGGTTACTTGGATTAAGCAGAACGAATTTAGAAGTGAGTGAACCAGAAGTTCTGCAAGAGTAAACATAGATAGAACTGTATTTCTAAAATACTTGTGTATACGAAATGACAAGATTATTTCCACATCAGACATAAAATTGGAAAAAAAGAGTTTATTAATAAAGCGAACCACTGGACCCTTCCCAGGGTACAGGTCTTAAATGCCTGGTGCCTGAATGTGCTTCCCCTGTCCTTTCAGATCAGAAACACGTACAGCCTCCTTCTTTGTTGTCTCTGCTTAAATACCTTCTTGGTTTCCATGGCAACCACAGTGGAATGCCGTGGTTGTTGACTGAAGAAGTCATGGGATCCTTCTTTGTAATTAGTTCTATTTTCCTTTTATTTCTCTTATGTTTACAGCATCTTAACAAGGGTGGGGAAAGACTGAAGGAGTTACAACATCTTAACCAGGGTGGACTGAAGGCTAAACTAGAGTTTCTTTTGCTAGGATAAAATTAACCCGTTGAGAGCTGCCATCCCCTACATATGTATTACCCTTAGTCCTGCTTGCTACAGTATGAAGGGAATGGATTCGGAATAGAATAAGTGTGAGAAGAACTGTGTGAAACCTGATTAAGACACCAAGCTATGCGTATACCTTAAATTATGTACATTAGAACTTTCTGTTCTAATGAAGTTACAACGAGAAGAAATAATAACAAGAATCCGCACTGCGGGTTGAAGAGTGTAAGACCAAAGGAAGGAAAGCCAATTTTCTGGTAAATTTCTTCACTATGTATATTTACTTAACATTTTTACTGTGTCATTAAAAGAAGCTATAAAAGTCTTTGCTACCAAACATAGGTGTCGTTGATTTTATTACTTTTAGGTAGTTTTAGCCTTGTCCTTTCATGATGGTACGTTCAATGCATGTCTATGAAATGGGTCACATACTTAGTAAGCTCAGTTAATGTGGGGTGTGGTGACAGTTTGATAGTTTACTTAGAAAAAAACACTGTTTCCTTAGAAACAGAATTTCCCTACTTGAGAAATTAAACACAAATTTCCGAATTCTGACTTCACTGTTATAGATCCTACGAGCTCACTTCTAAGCTTGAGGATCCACTCAAGAAACAAAGCAGCACTGTGAGCAGAAGGTGACCACAGCGCCGTCGCAGAGGCCGACAGGGCCAGTCAGCCCTTGCCCGTCCTGAGCCTCCTGCGAGGGCGGGAGCCCGGTGTTGGCCGCATGCTGGCACCCAGCCTTGTTCCTCAGTTCTCTGGAATATTAAAGCTGCTCAGTAACGTTGGCCCACGAGCAGGAAGTCATGAAATACTGAATTATTGCACTTTAAAATATTCAGATTACGGTGGAGAGTGGGAGGGATAGGAATTACAGGCTTTCAGAGTCAGAGGGAAACTAACAATGTCTTAATGATTCATAACATTTATTTAGAGAATAATGACAGATCAAAAATTATGTGCCTGGTTTTCTACTTTATACTAGTTGAGAGCCAGTATTTTATTAACCATCTCTCTTCAGAGCACTGGCTGTGCTACACTGACCCCGCTACTCTTCTCAGAGAAGTTCAATAGCAGCATATCTTTTGGTTACAGCTGCACATGGCGTGTGCCAGCGGCTACAAGGAGGTGGCAGCGCTTCTCCTGGAGCACGGCGGAGACCCCAGGCTCCCAGACAACCAGTGCTGGACGCCTCTGCACGTGGCAGCCAAGTACGGCCAGGTAAAGGGATTTTCTAAGTCGTTTCTACACAATCATCTTCTAATCAGTGAATAACTTCATACTTATTACTGTATCCCAAAGTATATGGTAATCAGAGTACACTCTGAATTTAATAGTATCTCTAGTACAAGTATTTTAATAGTTACATAAAAATATTTACTTTTACAAGGGCACACAAAAGTGTATGTTCCTCACAGTTTTGCATGTGTCAGGCAAAATGACTGGAAAAATGACCCCAACCTCAAAACATTCTGCACAGGGCAGTGCTAGTGTGCTTTCTGTAATGTAGTACTTAGAGGCCAACTTCACAAGTCTGTAATAATTGTTTTCTACAGTGAATAAATGAAAACGAAATTATGTTCTATTTTTTTCTGTAAACTACATTCCTTTTAATGACTGAAGGATGGGTAGCAAACTTGTCTGAGTAGATTTCTGGCTAATGCTGAGGCATCTTGCATTGTGATTTACAAGTCAGTTTCTCACTGAGCTCCCTTACATCCTAGCGAAGAAACAGAACCCAGCACTTCTGTGATTTGGGTGGGACTAAACAGTCTTCAGAATACTTTGGGGACAAAATGTCCAGTAGATTTAGAGGGAATTCAGTGTCTTCGATACTGAGCAGTGTGTAAAACATCTGTCACAAAATGTGAATAATGCAGTTGCTGAAATACTTAGGGAGACTTTTCATGTTGAGTATCATCCTGCGTGTCAGGTGCAAGGTCCCGAGTTCAACTCCAGGTACAAGAATAAATAAATAAGTAAATAATAAACTCATGTGAAACATTATATATATTTTTTAAAAACTTATGTGGGAGGTCTTTCAAACTGATAGGAACATTTTTGCTTTGACAACAGAACCTGGGAGAGTCACTAATTCCATGAACACAGGCAACAGGCTATGGAACTGTGCTTCACAAATGACTTCATTTGTGAGTGCATGGATTGGTTCTGCATTTGCACTGTGGGCAGCCAAAGCCAGGCCTCAGGCTGGGCTCTAACACCCGCACCTCGGTAGGCATGGAGGGCTGCAGCCCAGGGTGTCAGGACACCATCCGCACACCAGTCTCCCTGTCCAGCACAGTGGCGAGCCAAGGCACACCGGGGGAGGAGCTTTGCTAGCAATGAAAACCTCAGAGCTACATGTGGTGGACCATGTGGTTTAGGAAAAATTCACCTGCTGGCCTTTTCAGATGAGTCAGCAAAACGTTCCCTTATATTCAAGATTGCTTCCAGAAAGAATTAAGTGTGGAAGTATGAGACTCCTTGTTAGAGTGCGCCTGAAGAGATGCAGCTCTTTAATAGAGTACCTGGATGCTGTCCTCACTG